AGAAATGAGATTGTGGAAGTCTTTCCTTTTATCAGAAAAACGAGTATCAGTTATGTGTGCAGGGAGAGTCGTGAAATGACGTTCTCATAAATATTGTGACGAATAAAATAAAAAGTAATTTAAGGTTCACCAAAATTGCTTTTCTCATTGACAAGAAAAATTGCCAACGAACTTCTTTGATCAATAATCGCAAACAAAATCCTACAGGAAGTAAATTTATGTATTATTCCCAACATTCCTTGGCATGTTCACAATTCCATTAAGAATTCTTTTCCTCGCTTTCTGACTTACAAGAAATATTGTGCAATCCATATTTGAGATTTATATTTAGTCAATTTCTTCTTTCTCCTGACAACGTACTCAGTAGTAGTAGATAGAGGTTTGCAGCCTCAGTGAACAAGAGAAAAACAACAAAATTCTTTTCACTTTAAGAACTTCTTGAAGCATTGGAGTCAAAAGCAAGCTACAAACTCATTCGTTTGCCCTTTCTCGTTCACCCAACACTGCAACCAACTTGCAGAAACATTTTTCATTTCAATTTTCCATCTATTGTTGAAAATCTGTTCAAAGAGATTTTGAATCTCTCATGTTTTCCTTTAACCATCACCATATTGTTCCAAAAATTAAATAAGAGCAAGCTGAGTAACATTCTGCTCAAGTCACGACATTTCGTTCGTGATGCTTCTACTGCTGTTGCTGATACTGCTGCATCATCAATGGCGACAAGAGATGCATTTTTCCCGTGATGCTTCGTCTTTTTGTTATTTGCTTTTTCTTTCTTTATGTCTTCTTATTATCCTTCCACTTTCTGTTTGTTCTTTTAACAGACGTCGTGATTATCATCATCTTCAGCATGCCTTTCTGCGGGTGCAGTTTTATTCTTTCTCGTCTCTTGTAATTTATCAAAACGAGAAAATATAGACATTGCAGATTCTGAATTCTTTTATGATGTTCATGATCCAGTAATTTCGTATTCGCTTTTTTCTGATGAACAAATGAAATGAAGTTGAGAAGTTTGATTCATTTTATGGAGCATGAAAGTATAAAATGCTAACAATGCTGCTCGCGTTGCAACGTGATAGTCGTAAAATGTAATTTGTGGTTTCTGAAATGAAATTGATTTTAAAGTTTTAAGTATCTTAATTACATAATGAATGAAACTGTTTGGTGGAAACGAAGCATGAAATTTCGTCACATACCTTAAATGCTTAAAGGAAACTGAAAAGTTTTTTGTTATCATTCTTAAAGTCAGACGACAGTAAGAAAGAAAGGAAACACGAACGACGGTGATTATTCAAATGAAATCTTGTTAGGCAAATCTAAAACATTCGAATTTTAAATTCATTTGACATAAGAAGAAAGAAGAAAAAATTTTCCAAGAAATTTAAATTGGCCACAAGAAACAATGAAGAGATTTTTCTTCACAAGTCAACTGAAGGATTTCTATGAGATGAAAACAAAAAGAAAGAAATCAGGTTGAATTTTGCATATTGATAACAATCTCGATGGTTTCTGTGGCCTAAAATTTCTTTGTTCGGCATCGAATTTTCTTCCTTATGAGATTTCCTCGAGCATCTTCTTTAATTAATACAAATCGTTCTTTATGTTAATGAATTAACCATTTATGTTGAACACATTCTTCTCATGCCAACACTAACTAAGGGAAAGATGATAAAATTGCGCACCCAAAGTAAGATGAGATTTCTACGAAAGCGTAGAGAATGAGAATTAATGCTGGGATTAAGAATTTTCCATTTCGCCTTAGCTCTCGTCTCGGTGTAAAAAAGGAAGAATGACAAGAAAGATGTTCTTTCGTATCACCGAACAGGAAAAGCCTCGTAGGCATTTTCCATGGGAAAATTTTATTCAAATTCAACGGCATTAAAGGCTTAAAACATCATCGCTTCCTTCTAAACAAGGCACATCATTCAACGTTTCAACAAATGATGATTTTACAAAAACAACTGAACAACAACATACATTCACTCAATTAGATTCAAGTTAAGGGCCCTGGGAAGTAATTGAAAATGTATGTAAAGCCCTACAATTTTTTTTATTCTTTCTTCTTGCCACCACCACCCGTAACAGTATCAGGGAAAAATATTCAATTTTTGATGGCATCAAACATAAATTGCGCAGGTGATTTGCTTCTTTTACCTTCAACTTCCTTTCTTCATGCTTACTTTTTTTTTTGTGCTTGTCATTCAACGTCGCCGTTTTTATTTTCTCTTTCTGCCTTCTCTTAATTGGATTTGAATAAATTGAATTTAAAACGCGAGGAGGGATATTAAGTCACACAGTAGCTAATACCTTGTTTTACGGCAACTTTGGTAATTGAGTGTGTCGAATTTAAGGTGGAAATTCTGTCTTTTGTTTAATGGATGAATGTAACAGAGCACTCAATAGTGATCAGGTGTATGAGTTGAACAACATTTGTCATAGATGTTGTATTAGGCTTTGGGAGTCAATTACTGTTCGTCTTTTTTGAATAACAAAGATGACTCATTAACATTCTCATGTTACGACACAAATACGCTTGTTGTTCAGATGTTGAGAAATTAGATTGGATAAGGAAGCAAAGTGACTCTCGTACCTGCCATTCTCCGATGTTTAATTCGCAGAATAATTTTTCTCGTCGCAATTTATCATTAGGAGAAGAAGATGAAGGAAAAGAAAAACGTAGAAAGAGATGACAGTGAATGGGAAAGTCACCTTCCCGTAAAAAGACAAATAGACAGAAGTGTTCACACGCAAGAGAATCTCATCTCCTTAATAAGGCAAAGCTTGTTCATTCTCATCGTTGTTTGTTGTGAAGGATGGAAATAAAAGCGAAACAGCAACATTATCGTCACCTCGAAACGCGTCGTTTTTATGGAGATTACTTGGATATTTTTCTTTTTTTTTCATCTTTACGTCTTCTGTTTTTGCTAGTGGCATGGTGATGCTATTTACACACTCAAGTGCGAGAAAACAGCGACGAGAAAATCAGATAAGACGAAGGACTTGTGGGTAATAAGAGGAATGGAAATTGCCATAATAAAATTTCTCATAATTTTTATGAAACTTGTAGGAATATAAAAAAGCCCGCAAAGTGAGAAAAGTGATGACGATAATGTAGGTTTATGAATGTCTATTTTCTGCTGTTTATGACAACGAAATTTTTATCAGAAAATTGTTATCAAATAATTTTTTTTTCTTTCATATCTAAGAAGCTAAAAGCTCTCCTTCACCACACGCAAAACGAGAAGAAGAATGAAAAAAAAACTGTTGAACCTTTTTAGCTAAGCATCATAAATATTATTGTTTGAGGGTCGACATACAAAATCCTCCCATTCAATTACTTTTTATGGTGTCAGAAGTTTTGTTCCACTTTCACCAAATCGAGAGATGTAAAGTGGCAATTTAAAAGTTTCGAAAGACTCCCGTCCCGACGCTTCTTAGATAATTTTCTTTTTTTGTTTTTGATTCTGATATAATTTTATTGAAGGCTTCTGAAAAGTTTGAAATTGAAAATAAAACTTTTCTCACTGAGAATAAAAGTTGTTTCCTTCTATTTATTCAAATGTTCTGAAAAGCTTAAGTGATCCCATAAAATAGATTGTTCTATCAGATTCGCTTTGTTCATGGGATCAGAGTAGCAAAACCTTTTCGTTGATGTTATAATTGAAGGTCAGGTCTTCATGACTCTTTCCTTCTCTGAAGATTCTTTCATGATCAATGAATACATAAATGTTCATAAACCCCTGACATCGCTAACCAGGTAAATTAATAAGCGCTTCGTTCCAATCATCATAAGAATCAGAAATTTTTTCAGACTAACGCAGATTGAAAAGTTTCGGTCTTCTAATGAAATTAAATCTCATCTTTTACGATCAGTTCTTTTATTTATTTAGTTAAAGCTAGTGGCACGGCGTACACACGAGCATTGGAAGAACGATAGAATTAAAATTAATAAAATGAATGGGGCATTATAATTTTCTTGTTATGTATTATTAAATATCGACAGACATTTGACTGTTTTCATCAACGTTGCTATGTATTCTCTTGCGTTGATGAAATCGTAAGAGAAATACTTAATAACGTGTGGTCTTTTGTCCGACAATTTCATAAATTAAATTTCTCCCTCTTTCTCACTCACGTGAAGAACCTCGTCGACCTTTTTTTTCCTCTTAAACATTCGTTGCCTAAACTCTCAGTTGAGTATTTATTTGGTGTTGTGCTGGGGTCCCGAAAGAAATAAAATTAAAAATAAAAAAAAGCAATTTTCGGACTAAAGAGATTGTCGAAAGAAGAATAGAAATAATTATCGTTTCGAAATGTTTTGACATGAAGCACAATAAATGTTAATATTTTGTATGTTTTTCCCTTCTTCTTCTTATCCTCTCTACCTTGTTTTCTGAAAAGAAATGATTATAAGTGTCGTCGTTTGATCATGACGATATGATAAGCTCTGACTGCTCTCGCAGGAGGAGCGAATCGAGAAGAAAATAAATAAAAATGAAATAAAGGAAATCAAGATTCAGAAATCTCTGAAAACTCGTTCTTCAGTGGTTCTCAATTGCTTGATATTTTTTTTTCTGTTTTGGAAATTCAAAACGAGAAAGAGTCAGAGATGATTATCATGATAAATTGTTTGTTCCATGATTGAACCACGTTGTCTCTTCTGCCTTCACAGCATCAACGAATGAATTCAAGCATACCAGATGAGAAACAGTTTAAAATTACATCAAAGTTTTTGATAAGTCTTAAAAGAAAGAAACTTTTCCTTTTCCACATAAAAAAAAGACGAGAGAAGAAATGAAACAACATGACAAAAAATTAATGTCTGATTTAAAGATTAAAACATAAATGTCACACCAAAAGGTGAAATATAAATGGGTGACAAATGTCTTGTTGCTGGGTCTTTCTTTAGTAACTTTTCTTATATTTTCGCTTTGTGACGCTTTAAGTAGCATAAAATTAAACATGAAGTCATAAAGTGTCTTTACGATCCATTCAAAAGTCAATTATGTTGCGCAAATTTGTTGCTGTGGCTGGATTTAATGTTCAATTATATTTCTATCATCATGTCGTTTGAATATTTGGTCTGGTTTGCTTAAAAATCACTCAATTTGTGAATTAATGAATCAATTAATGAGCAACTTAATACATTTTATGAATGTTTTTATAACGTCACCATGACGATGGAAAGAAAATTTGCTTTCTCCAAATGCAAGCACATTGAAATATTTTTGAAAATGAACAGAATGCATATCTAATGGAGTTTTTATTATGATATTTCATGAGATATTCCCATAAAAAATATGTAAAACTATAAGTTAAATGAAAACAGTGTCTGCGACAATACCAAGTGCCATTATATGTTGAAAATGGAGATTATTGGAGAGACTCCAAAACTTTCATAAAATTTATGCCATCAAATTATAGTTTCTAATTTATATTACTCCCATGCGATCAGACAACATACGCATACAATGTTTACGACTAATATTTGGGAATAAAGGAATTATTGTTGTTATCTATTGCTGCTCTATTTCTCACTCTATTTCTCCAACATTATAATAAGAACATTATCAATGTGATTTATGAGATGACTAGAATGTTTTTAGCGAACTCCACATAGCTGTGAATTAATAGCGTGTTATTTACGACTATGATGCTAGGATATTTTATGACATAATTTTGCGTGGCTTTCCACATTGTGCCACATGATTTTCATTCATCTTCATATAAGTATGCATATCAATTTTAAGAAAAAAGAAAATTTCTCACTTCATGAATAGGTTTTTGGGTTATTCTTCATCTGTTTCTTCTTTTTCTCTTGCTATGCTTGCTTGTATCTGATGTCGCCCTGAATAACAAATGGATATCGGAACAATCGGAAATTGAGTTATTTCTGATTGCTTCTATTCAAACATTTCTTTTTTCTGTCTCTGCCAACATAGCTACAGAATTGAATCACCCAGGAAACTCAATATTTGCAGGAATAAAAAGACGATTTTTAATGGAGTGCTTTGAAATGAAATTATTTTTCTCTTTTTATTTTATTATTTCATAAGCTGGGGTATGTTTAGCTTTAGCAACTTTATATTGAAGAATTGAAATATCTACGTGTATTGAAAATTGAAGACTTAAATTCTTAATAAAATGTTTCAAGAGCATATTCTTACTTATCTCCATGACTCCTTTTGACATTCACTTCAATATTGCACAAGAAAAGTTGCAGCTTAATTTTATCAGTCATCGAGGCAATCTTGTATTTAACAAACAATGAAAAATAAAGCTATGGAACCATAAAATGATTTGTTAAATTTTAAAGTAAACACTCAAATATGCCACACAACGAGTGACTGCAGGAAATCTTTTCTGCTGATGTTCAATAATTTTTCTCCATACGATGTTGATTTTTGAGGAAGATAAAACATTCTTACCTAAATCTCTCAGCACGTCTTCTATTGAATGTTATGTTTGTCTCTTCAAAAGATTGAAGAAAGGATGCAGAGAAAGAATGATAACAATCAGATGGAATGTGACAATCCAAACATGACTCCTGAGAATGAGAATGCACAGCTGAATGAAGGAAGAAAAAGCAACAAACAATTTCTGACTTGATTGTCTCTAGAAAATTATTATTGATCGTCAAGTATCAAATGACTTCAGTTTCAAACATTTTGTAATATTAAAAGTCCATGAAATTACTTCAATGGCGCTTTTCAAATGTTTAAATATTCTTTATTCCAAATCAGATTTCTAACTCTTCAAATGATAATTAATTTTCAAGCATCTTAAAATAGACGTCAAACAAAGGCCATGGCGAGAAGTTAGTTTTGGTGAAGAATGAATAAAAAAGAAAGAAAAAAATCAATAAACGATTACATGAGAAACACTTGGAGACGTCAAAAAATTGATTCTTGTTCTCTAACGAATGATTCAAGAAGTTGATGATGATAAAGCAATAATTGGATTTCAAGTATTTATTTCTTCTTCGTTTTTAAACTCAGTTGAATCAAAGAAACATTTCAAATGATTTGACAACTTAAGTTGAGTTCAAATAAATTTAAAAGACGGAACCATTTGGCTTTTAAGTGAATTTCAAACTTTCATGTGAACGATTATCGAATTATGATCCAATTTGAAGCCAATGGGAAATTCAATTGCATCATAATCATTGGAATTAGACTAAAAATATGTTTGGGATTTTCTAAAATGACAGTCATTTGAAGTCATTAACATTGCTTAATTACGAAATGAAGTCTTTATGGGGCATGAACATGCATAATTGCCAGTTTATTTCTCTCGTTTTTTTGCGATACACTTTTAAGTTCAACTTTTGGCCGGATAAAAATGCTTATCGTGGTCGAGTTTTAAACTTTTCAGCTTAATGAATGAATAGCAATTTTCCCGTCTCGTCTCGCATCGCCGATAATTAAGTTATTAACTCTTGTGCTTGTTAAAAAAAGCGATAAAATATTTTTCTAATTACCATTTACACATTTTGCGTGTTTGAATGAATACATTCATTGGCTTTTATGAAGCCACTACATATCCAATCATCAACCGGAAAGTTTCTTCAAACTTATAGTTAACAACTTCATCACAAATGCTGTCAAGGCTTTTAAAGTTTTCTCACTCCAATCAAACACAATTTGCATAAATAATAACATGATGTGTGATTGCGTTGAATGGAAACAGTGAAATACGTCAAATTGACTCGTGTATGATGTAGTTTCACATTTTAATTATGATTTAGCACGACAAACCGCGCGACAAATACTAACTGTTGAAAGTTTACAGAAGAAAATATTACTTGCAAAGTAATTTGTGGCTTTGTTCAATTTGACTGCTTTGAAACTAAAAATTTTCAATGATGAAGTTATTTCTCGTCAGTCACCATTCAAATTCCCCAACCAACCCCCCTCTGCATTCTTTCTAGACAAACCAGTAGGCTTTTTTCACATTTTAATGTTGTTTATTCGTTCTCTTTAACTTTATTGTTCTTTTTATCATGTGCGTAGTTTATGAAAATGAATGAGTTATGATAGTTCTATCACTAAAGAATGTTTAAGTTTTTAACAATTTGTTTGCAAAAATGTCAGAGTAAGATGGCGAAAGAATAGTTTAATTCATACTTTGATGTACTTAAGTGGGTAAATATTCTTATTAATATTTAAGAGTGTGAATAACAATTGATGCATTCTTTTAAATGATATAAAAGGCATCACAATTTTCAGAATTTCATCAGTATTTTGGAACATTTAACTCAGATATGACGAAACTTTTAATTATCTTGGCAATTGTGTGCCTTATTTTAATGGGTAAAATTTATGATAAATGAAATGAATATTAGAAGTAAGTTCTTCGTTTTGTGTAATTTCAGTGCTTGCAAACGCACACGCACACGCTGAAAATGGAAGAAAAGGAAAAGGAAGTTGAGTATTTAAAAGTAACCTTGAAAATTATTTATTTTTTGGAATTAATATTTTAAGGAGGAAGGTTCCATGATGACTTTGATGGTTTTGGTAATCAGAAATGATTTCTCTGAGATTGGAAAAATTTTATTGAATTTCTGTATTTAATGATTCAGGTGACTTCTTCGAACAGATATTGGATTAACTTCCAATGATGACTTGTTGACAAGAAGCTTGATTAAACTCTTAATTGAGCCTCAATATCAACCGAATGTTATTGCAGAGAAATTAAGATTTTTAATAAAACTTTGGAATAACTCAAAAAGCATTTTTTAATAATTGTCAACAGTAAATCTATGTTTCATTTATTATTGCAGAGCGAGAAAAATCAATGAAATCTTTAATGCAGTGAAAATAAGTGTTAATGAAAATAAGTTTAATAAAATACAATCACGAGATTTAAATATGTGCGCATTTAACTGAACCTTGATTTTGTCAGCACCATCGGATTATTGCTGTTTAAATTACAGTGAAAGCCCTTAAAGTGCAGCGTTCTTGGAA